ATTATCTTAATTATATTTTAGATTTTTTATATTTAAAATGAGATGTTTATCATGTATTTGATTGTGTTTATCTGCAGTTAGTTACACGAATTCAGTTATGGGATGAAATCGGATAGGGATGAAATTGTTTAGGGATAAACGAGTTTAAAAGTTTTAAGAGTTTAAGAGTTTTAGCCAAATGCTTTATAATATAGTATATATATATATATATATATATATATATATATATATATATATATATATATCAATATCTTCTGGGTTTCTCTGCTTTAAAGTTTTCAGGCACATGACATGAGTGTCAATACCTCTTCTAGCTTGGGGGCATCCTACTTTCACATTTAGCCCATATTTTCAGCTGCTACATTAAAAAGTTAGTAACGTCACGTTTTATAAAAAAAATTTAATATATAGTAAATGATGAGACTAGGATCTACATGCCTTATTAAAAGACGGTTCATCGTTACTTTGATTCAAAAGATAATTACTGGTTCTCGAGTTTCAATTATTTTGATAACTGTAACCATCTTTTCGATTACATAAACCCTCTTTCTTTGAGTAGCAATACGTTCTAACGGAATTTGATGCATATTTTTCAGGTAAATAGCAATAAGTTAGATACCACAATAGAAGTAATAAACATTTGGTAAATATTTTCCAACTTTTCTGGGTTTCTCATTCAATTTTTATGTACATGCCACCATTAAAAGGAGAATAGAAACTTCATTTTTTATGATTTCCCAACACTGACAGACCTAGCAGGTGAAGGCTTGCATTCTATCCACATATTCTGTTCCCTAGTTATTTAAATAAAAACTGTAGCAAATTAGGGTTTTAAAGGTAGATATTTTTAGCCGTTACATCAAATCAGTATTCAACGGTAAAAAAGGGCAAACAAATTAAAATGTTTACGTGAAATTATAAATAATAATAACTTTATTAGTTCTTCAAAAAAAATATCATATGAAGATTATCAATGTGATGGTATTTACCTTAACAAATAAAAGAGTAACAGATTAGAGTCGTTAACTTTTGTATATTTCAATGAACATGAAGTGACGTAGCCAAGATTTTTGTTGAATGTGTGCATCTTTAAAGTAGATCAAAGCTTCACAAAATCGTCTGATGTGTTTTAGCCAAATTACAGCGTTTCTAAAGATTCTTTTAGTTTTTATTTATTTATTGATTTCCAGAAATTTATTAAAAAAATTGGTTGATTACAAGGGATTTTTAAAAAAATTTGGTTGATCCTAAGGAAGTTTTTCAGTTTTTGTGGTTGGTTTCGAGAGAATTTTACGATTTTTTGCTTGATTTTTAATTTTTTTTTTGGTTTTTTGTTGATGTTTTTATATTTTCTAATATTGCGAAACACTACTCAAAGTTTAGCAGCCGCACCTTTCATAAAAAAAAAATTTACTTGTAAAAATCGGTTGAATGGTTCACAGGATACCGTTCAGCAACTCAGAAGTCGCAAAATGATTATAACTTCTTCAAATTATGATAGAACGCACTTACGTTTAGTAAGGAAATTAGTAAATCATATGTAACCTATAAATTAAGTCATAATGTACCATAACCAAACCAAGTCACAAAGAAAAAAAAACCAATATTATACAAATTCAGCAATTTCTAAAATCCAAAATTACATCAAAGCTTGAAAAAGTATCTGATAGGGTCTTGTAGAAATCTATTAAGAAACTACAATTTAATAAAATGAAATTACTGTGCAACAATTCAAAAAGGTTTACCAAACAAAAGTATATTTGGTAAAATAGAGGAATCAACAAGCAAAGAGGCAATTTGGTTACAATTAGTTTCCTAATAATTAATGAATTAACAAACCACACTTTCTTTGACATTATTCATGGAGCTGCTGCATATATTCAACTTTTGCTACAAAAAGAAAATTCCAAACGATAAATTTTGATAACAATTCATGAAAGTATTTAACAATAATTAACTGACTTGGGATCATGTGACCAAGAGTTTTTCGTGAGACCCGTAAGACCAGAACATTCATAATCACAAAATTGATACCGTGCAATTTTAGACCATTAGATTATTAGCTTCTAAAGTTGATCAATGAACATAAATTATACTTACGAATCTCACGAAAAACCTTTGGTCTCACGTGAACCCAACCCTAATTAACTTGATATATATCGATTGTACTTGGTTGAAACTAAAAATTATGTTTCAAACAAAGATCTAATTAAAACCGGTAACCTAATTAGCCTTTAGGGTATCCCTAGACCAAATATACGTCTCATGAGTTGTCTGTATATTTTTGGGTACCCCGATACCGTACGTACATCAATGTGCTATCCTTTTCACGCAAACAAACAAATAAGGCCAGTAGACCAAAAAAGGCCTATTAAAAAAGGTTGCTAGTGATAGAGTTGGGACTTGGAAAAGGGATGAAAATGAGAAGGTCCAGCAGCAGTGTGAAGAAAAGCGGAAACGACAACGATGGATTGAAAAAAGGGCCATGGACGCCGGAAGAAGACCAAAAGCTATTGTCTTATATCCAACAGTTTGGGCAATGCAGTTGGCGCTCATTATCTGCTAAAGCTGGTACCAACCTAATCAACCTTCCATGCAATGCATATACGTATTTCTTTTCTCTCATGCACATGCAGCAACAGCTCATGAAGATTTGAATCCCACCACAAGATTGACCATGATTAGTTAAGGCATATTTGTAGATGTATTTTTTACTCACTTTTTAATCTTTCATTATTTTTGATAATGTGTAGGTCTCAGGAGATGTGGAAAGAGTTGTAGATTGAGGTGGAATAACTACCTCAGGCCAGATATAAAAAAGGGAAACTTCAGTTTGGAAGAAGAACGGACCATCATTCAACTCCATGCTCTTCTTGGTAACAGGTACAATATATATGTTATGGATTATCTTTGAGGCATTTTAAAGTGAATACCTTTAAAACATTTAACGGTTCATTGCACTTGCATGTTCAGGTGGTCAGCTATTGCTACTCACTTGCCAAAAAGAACAGATAGCAAGATCAAGAACCATTGGAACTCACACATCAAGAAGAGGTTGGCTAAAATGGGTATTGATCCGGTGACCCACAAGCCAAAGGTTGACACCCCACTTCACGGCTCCAACCTGAACCACATGACTCAATGGGAGGCTGCTCGGCTAGAAGCAGAGGCTAGGCTAGTTCAGCAGCCTAATAAACATCATCCTTACCAACAACCCTATCTCGTATCACCTCCTTCAACTCATGAGCTCCATAAAAGGCCCACCACAACACTACCATATTTAGAATGCCTTGATGTACTTAAAGTATGGCAAGGGATATTAAAGTCAAAGTATCTTATCCATGGAGGTCTTCAAACACTTGACTCGACATGGAGTGTCCTGAAAGACGTTCCCCTCATAAGACCCACTACACCCATGATTAACAATGTCGAAAGCAAGGGTTCATTAAATGAAGGGGCGACCACAAAATGGTATGATAAAACCGAAACCCTAATGGAGCCGTTTGAGGAATATTTCATGTGCCCTTACGATGCAAATATTACTACTGAAGACTATCCTCAAGTCAAGCCTCAAGGTTTCTTGGAAGGCTGTCTTGATCTTCCCATTAATGGTGCTGAAAATCATGAAGCAAATTAAAACAATGATGTGATGGATGGAGTAGTGTCACAAATAACTTGGTCATGAATGCATGGCCTCCAGCTTCGCCTGTGTTCTAGTAAATCGTCTAGATAGCCAAGCAATAACTGGGTTAATTTTAGAAATAGGGTCTTTTTTTTTAATTGTTTAATAAAAAGGATCGACGCTGTTTTTCTTTAATTAATAAAAATGGGTTTTTGTGTCTGTGAAATAAGACTTTACAATTATTTTATGATTTTGCATTCCTAATTTCATATTTCATATTTTCAGTTCTTCTACAAAAATGTATCCTTCTGTGAGAGAGAACGCTGCTATATTAGTTCAATATATACGTTTGAGATTGCAATACGGGTTAATGTCCTTTGTTTTATATAATTTTTATTTAATATTGTAATTAAAATCTGTTATATATAAACGTCTTTGGATTGCGAAATTGATTATTATTTTAGTTCATATTTATTTAAATTAATTATATAAAACTCATTCGAATATATATTAGAAGAGTACTCGCGTAATCTAGCGAGACACATCTCGATTTTAATGTTCTATTTTATTATTTGTCTCTGTCGAAGTTATAATACGATTTTRTGTGTTTTTAATAAAGCAGTAATGATTTTATTTTTGAATAAAATATAAATTTGAAGATATCATCAAAATTTGAAAAAAAAATATATCAATGTTAATATCAAGTCAACTATTTAAAAGTTTTCATTTTTTATGTAATTTCTTTATTTTATTTTTTTTATTATAATTTAATATAATTTTAATAATAAAATTATTTTTTGGTTTAATAATATAATATTTTATAATGATAATAAT